CAATTCACTTCAGTATGGTTTGTCTACAGACTATTGAAAGTCTATGCTAAAATGCCCAAGCCTGAACCATGAAATTCAATTTTTACTATAGGTCGAATTTATTTGGTCCTCAATTATGTCACTGAAGAAGATTTTCCACTGAATATGGTCTTTCTTATCACTCTCTTGTCAGTCATCCAATGCTCCGCACATAACAAGTGCTCAATAAGCACACAGACAGAAAAGCAAACTTGGCTGCTTACAGGTCTCTTACATTCCAAGGGGTAGAAGCCCCACCTCAATCCACATATTCTTATGTGTATGTTTGTGTGGGAGTGCACAAGCACATGTGTATGCATGCATATGGAGGCCACAGGTCAACTTTAGGTGTCATGCCTCAGGTACCAGACACCTTGTTTTTTGAGACAGTGGCCTGTGACTCACTGACTAATGAAACTATGCCGGCCGGCCAGCGAGCCCTAGAGATCTAGCTGTCTCCATCTCCCCAAGTCCTGGGATTACAAGCACGAGCCACCATATCATTTTTTTTTTTTTCACATGAGTTCAGAGAATCAAACTCAGGTCCTTCTGCTTAGAACAGAACTATCTCCCCAGCCCTCATGCCATATTCCTAAATAGAAGAATAACATCTTTTCTTATACAGATTAGGAAATAAAGACATGTGAAGAAAAGCTGATGTCCTTGGAGGCTTTTGCCAGTAAGAGAATGGAAGTCCCTTGACCTGAAGTCAAAGTCTTTCTCTGCCTCTCTTTTTGAAGTCTTTCTCTGACTCTTTTTTTTTTTTTGCAACAAGACTTAAAAAAAATTCTTTATAGTGGTCATTCCCATGATCATCTCTATAAAATTGCTGCATTTTCATCTGAAGGAAATAGCAGTAGATATGATGACTGAAAACCTTAAGAGTTTTGCTTTACTGACTGAGCTAGGCAGGAACCTCAGCATAAACTTTAAGAATGTCTGAGTCTGGTTTTGGTCCCAGGTGAGGAAAACCAATTCATTATATGTTTCTCAAATACCATTTCTGAGATCAAAGGCACTTTAACTTTCTAAAGTATTACAAAAGTGGGGCAATTCTTAACTGTAGGACAACACATTATTTCATTAACAAAAGGGGAGAAATACTATGCATCCTTGCAGATAACGTTTGGAGAGGTTACAGTCATGAGGGAGTTCTTGTAGTTGTTTAGTGAACAGCTGGAAGGGAGAAGGAATTGGCTTATCTGCTAACTGGCTTTCCCAGCAGTCATACTACAGGGTTAGCATATCTACTCAGTGCCTGACTGTCTGTCTTGGCTGTCATTTTTATTATAGATCAGGATCTCAAGCCAAATCTTTACAGTTTATGTGAAAAGAAGGAAAAAATCAGGAGTGAGCAAAAACAAAGGAAGTAAGCCAGAAACTGGCTGCATGTGTTCTTGTCTTCCTCAATCAGCTCCTTCCTATGAGTCGAGATTGTTCAGTTTCTTCCTATCCCCTAGCCTCTCATCCCCCTACTGTCCAAAGTTAACCTCGTAGAATTCCCAGATAGACTGCTGAGAATTCTTAAGTCCTGCTTTCTCTTGAAAGAGAAAAACCAGGAAAGAGGAAAGTGAAACCAATGGGCAACAGTGTGAATAAGTAAGAGAAGATAAATTCATTTTGTTTTGGTGCCTTTAACTATTGTATCTTATGGTCCAAGAGAGGCCCCTGCTGGTGAGATTGGTACAGCAGAATGCCAGGAGCCTTACCAGGTGAACTCAACATCCCCATCAAATGTAGCCTACAATTCCTAGAGACTTGTTCACAGTGGTCTGTCAAACATCTGTGATCGCTGCCCAATGAGATACCTTATGAGGACACATGACTATGTCCTTGTTATGGACTTCCCATAGTTCTCCCACAGTAAGGCAGGTGTCACCTGCTCCATGAGCCCTGAAAAAATGAGGTTCCCTAGGGTTGGAGGATTTGAGTGGCTCTGGACAGACATTCACTGGGGTTCCTCTCACCTCAGTTTTCTGGCTGAGTGAGTTTTAAAGCTTCATAGAAAGAGACAAGCATATTCCATTACATGCAGGACCAGTGTTCCATAAATGCTGCTTTATCACCTTGGCTCCATAGAGCCTACTGATGAATATACTTGGAGAACAAGAAGAACCTACCAGAGAGGCTGCAGGGAGAGGGCCAGTCCACTGACACATGGACCCATTAGGGTCATTAGCCTAAAGATGCCAAGGAAGCCGATGGTTGTAACCAGAGATGTGACAGAAGGCACACTCTGGCCTCTCTGCCCCTACACCCAGGGAAGGAGGAGACCCTTTTACTAAAACCTAGGTTGAATTCAGCACTCAGGATCAAACCCAGTGCCTCATACATGCTAGGAAAATGCTTTACTGCCAATATGCACCCAGTCTGCATTTGACTTTAATTTCCTCAATTCTCCATGAAATGAATTTCATCTGGTTCAGCTTATAAAGCAATGGAGTCCTAGCATTCTCTCACCTCTCCACTCACCAGTGTGTCTGGGGCCAACTACAGAACTGGCACTCAGGCTGAAAGTTCCTCAAGGAAGGGATGGCTGTATAGATGTTGGGCACAAGGAAAACACACACACACACACACACACACACACTTCAAATGTAAGGAGTATCTGGCATCCACTTCCTACCTAGGAAATAAACATTACACAGTACCACACCACACACACATAGCCAGCAGAACTCACCAATACCCTTCTAACCCAGGCGGGAGTTGGCATGAAGTGAGACCACAGGATTTACACTTCAGACCCTTGGCAGAACTTCCCTCCCTCATCTCTTCTTACACCACCCTGCTCATCACTTCTTCCCTAAAACTAAATTTACATCCAGAAAATTTGAGTTTCCCACTTCAGATTGCCACATCCAAGAGAGAGGCACTTATTAAATCCATAAATAATGCCTTTCTTGGCTGAGCACAAACTGCTTTCTACACATAATCCCATTGATCTTCCTAAGCTCTTTCACTTTTGTCTCAGTAGGCAGTCAGCCCTACATGTTGGTTCAGAATTTGGATCCACCAGTGGGATGGATCATCTTAGAGCACACTGGCCTGGGAAGAGCTCTCTGAGATAATGTCCCCAAAAAGTTGGACAATAACAGCACATTCACCTCCCTCTCCCTCTCTTCCCCCACTCCCTTTTGCAAGATGGCCCCAAAGGTACCAGAGATTTGAGTTCCAGGCCTATTTAAGGAAGTTCTTGCCATCTTTTCTCTTCCTCCAAACTTATCATTTCTGAAGGATTCACAGTGTAAACTTGGGGGTGGGGGTTGTAAAGGTGCATTCATTCCAATTTCTCAGAATGCCAAAATCAATGTGAGTTGTGTGTTTCTGTTTTAACCGGTTGCTTTGGCATCCTATACTTGTATCTAGCATGCTGTTAGTCCCCTTGTTGGTAGATATATCACTGCCAAGTGTCCTTTAAAATGGTTAAAAGCATCTATTGTTTTCATCATGCATTGGGCCACCTTTTTATTGTCCTGGAGGGAAGCAGGTCCTTTTCCTCAGCTGTTCCACTTGGGGAACAGATGCTATTGTTCAGTTCTAGAAACAGACCTGATGCCTTTTCTGTTCTTGATCAAGGTGGGCTGGTTTATCCTACCCATAGCAACAATGTTCCCTTCCACCCAGTGTAGCAGAGTAAGGCTATAGCTATAGCACTCCAGACCAGACTGAGGTGACCCCAAGAGGTCTGTGGAAGGCACCTCTGTAAGGTGCATCCCAGGCCTGGAGCAGCTGGTCCTCATGTATGTGAAGCACAGACAAGGGCTGTGCCTGCTACCACATTCCGTGCTACTTGAACACTCTCAGGACAATCTCAGTTGTACATTCTCTCATGGACACAAAAGAGTCTGGACTGAGGGAATGGGGGTCAGTGTAGAATATGTGCCTCAGACACTCAAGGGCCTGGATTCAATCCTAAACAACTCCTGGAAGAAACAAAGATAAACAAGAAAATCAACAAAGTACCCTGGGTAAAAAAACTTGTGACCAATTCATGGTCTTTCATCAACAGCAATAGTACTTCCCTCTCTGGGTGATGGTGGACACTCAGCACACACAGGAGCCATGACTCAGCAAATATAGAAAAGATGACTCAGCAAGCACAGGTGAGCACTCAGTAAACACAGTAATGGTGGCTGAGCAAGCACAGGAGAGATGACTCAGCAAACACGGAAACTATGACTTAGTAAATACAGGAACAATGATTCTACAAACACAGGAAAGATAATTCCACAAGCTCAGAGGCTTCCACAGAAATAGGAGAGATGACTCAGCAAGCTCAGGAGAGATGATGACACAGACATAAGATGACTCAGCACACAAACTAGGAAAGATGACTTAGCAATCACAGGAGCCATGATGGCTCAGCAAGCACAGGAGCAATGACTCTGACAGCCTTGTTTAAAACCACATCCTGTGCAATCATGAGGTGTGAAGCCCCCCAGCCCGACTGCCTGAGTCATGTTTTCTACACTTGTAGAAATGAAGTGGGAAGTGTGCACTTTATTAAAGGCTCTAAGCGAATGGGTCTCCACGGATGACAGGAAGACCAATGTCTCTTTCATCCCACTAGAAGAACAGAAAAAAGCAAAATGGCAGGTAATGTTTCACCAGACAACGCCGAACCACTGGGATTCAGTGTAAGAGCACCTCCACAGCGAGTCAGACACGGAACCAAGAGCTGTTGTTCGCAACCTAGTTTTCTGATTATTTTAGCCTGGTGTGGGCATTCGAACGCCAAGGGCTTTTTCAGCATAAAGTGTTATTTCTCTAAGTTCTCTAAATGGACCTGAAGTCCCTTTACCCTCTGCGGGCTAGTCTTCCTGGCTGCTAAGCTGCTGCAAGGGCTTGTTTAGGAATGCGCTGCACCCGGCCCGCAGCTTTGTGGGCACAGCCTTTCAGGACAGCGCTGTGCTGGGGAATCCAGCTAGTGGGCACGTGAGGTGTCTTCAGACCCACTCAGACTTCTTGGTTCTCAGATGGGGAGCGCTGCCGGAAGTGGCCAGCCTGCCAGGGGCCCGAGGCTGACTGGCTAAACAGTGCCCAGCTAGGTGGCTTTGGGAGGCGGAGGGCAGCTCACCCGACCTAGCAGAGCTCTTGCTACCCGGGTCTTGGGCAACCGCTCCGTAGGATCTGAACTCGCGCTCTGTGTGAGCCACCACCAACCCATCACCAGCTGAGGACATGGCCTCACTATCATCTCCGTCTGGCAGCTCCACGCGCCTTAACGCACTGGCTTGACCACCCGGGCTGTGGCCACCCTGACTTGTGGTCCATGCACCTGGGACCATGGGCACGCTCTGCTCCTGCCTGCCCTCCTGGTCCACCTGACCCTGGCTGTGACAGGCCTCGGGGTCCTGCAAGAGGCCAGAGGGAGGCGCGGGGACTTGGCAGTCTGGCCGGGCCGCACTCCTGGCCCCCGGCTCGGTCCCCCGGGTCCGGGTCCTCAGGCTGCAGAGCAGGTCGGCCACGCTGAGCAGGAAGGACAGCGCGCTCACGGCCCAGACGAACAGCATCAGGAGGGTCTTCTCCGTGGGCCGCGACACGTAACAGTCCACGGCGCCCGAGCACGGCGCTCGGGAGCAGGACACACGAGTAGGGACCGAGAAGCCGAAGAGCAGGTAGTGCAGGGCGGCGAGCCCCGCCTCCAGCAGCGTGCGCAGCAGCAGATGCGCCCGGTAGGCGGTCGACAGGTCCGGCACGCGCGGCCCGCGGGCTCCTCCCGCCACCAGCCGCGCTCCCAGGTGCAGGGCATAGGCACAGAAGACCGCAGACGGGAGGAGCAGCGCCAGGCTCTGCAGCAGCCAGAACCTCAGGGGAGACACCGGGGAGAAGAGGTCGTAGCACATGTTGGCGCATCCTGGTTGCAGGGTGTTGCAAACAAACCGCTCCTGCTCGTCCTGGTAGATGGGGGACCCTGCCAAGACGACCACCAGCATCCTCAGCAGGACCGCCACGACCAGCCAGAGCATGCCTGCGGGAGAGCAAGTAAAGATCAGTGCTGAGGTGCAGAAGGCTATCTCCACACAGCAGCCTTAACTAGACCCCCAGAGGTCGGTAGCACTAAGAGCAACAGGAGCAGGTATTTCCTAAACAAGAGAGAGAGAGAGAGAGAGAGAGAGAGAGAGAGAGGGAGAGGGAGAGAGA